CATCTATTAATGGACAACACATTAAACTTAGCAAAACAATACATCAATATCCTTAATGAGGACTTAAATATAATTAAATTCTGCCAAAAGTCAATATTATATCACAATAAAAAAATATGAACAAAAAGAACCAAACTAATAATAACAATAGCAATAATAATAATGTTGATGTAACTATTGTATAGGAATAAAGTGTCATGTTCTCAGCATTGTAGTTTGAACACAGATCACCAATGGACAAACATGGACAATATAATTATTAAATAAGTAGATCACGTGATCATAAAGGAAACATATAAATGGGAATTAGTGTGACGTTTAAGTGATCGCTATTCTCTTTAATATCCACTATACTATTTCTCTATATTGTTCATTATATGAATTACTATTCGTCAATTAGTACTTGAACAAGTATTATTAGTGTGAGTATTATTTGAAGGTGTTACTACTAACAGTATCTGTGGTTTCAATGTCTTGACTACAATGAGCATTATGAATGTGATCTTTAGCATTCATTGACCTAACGAAAGTTAGAATGATTGGGTGTCTAACATCACAAAAGTAGCAATGGGGGGCTATGATGCTTCTGGGGTATACTAATTCACAGACATATATATATATATATATATATATATATATATATATATATATATATATATATCAATCAATTAACGAATATTATTAACAAAAAGATATAGGTCTATACAGAGACAACGGTCTATTAATCCCAAGAAACAGTAATGGCAAAACCACAGAAAAAATAAAACAAGAAATAATAAAAACCTTCGAAAACCTAGGATTTAGAATAGATACAAATCAAATTCCCAAAAATAAAATATCCTGGGTATAATGATAAACTCCATCCACATCCAGGGTAAGACGATAAACTACGTCCAACGCTAAGACCTCTGATCAGAAGGTTTTGAGGAATGTGGAACACCTCTTAATTACTGGTCTTCACAGGTCCACTCTGACCCCGGGTGGTAGCACCTGTTAGGGTCCCAGCTATGGGCAAATTGTTAACCCCGAAACTGGGGTAAGAACATTATGAAAGTGTAAAAATAGGTTTTAATACCAGAAATACTTTGTAAAATATTATTACCAGTAATAATTTATTTCAAAAATATTACCAGCAATACGTTTTGAGGAAAAAAAAATATTACCAGAAATAGATTTTTGACAAAACAAAATGTTACCAGCAAAACAAAATTGTTGGCAACCATTGAGGTTGATATGCCGTAAAACAAAAACAAAAGAAAATAAAACAAACAGACCAAAATAATAAAGTTCTTAGATATAATAGTCAACCTCAGCAAGAAAACCTACAAGCCATACAGAAAACCAAATAACAGCCAAATATAAATTAGCAAAACTTCTAGCCACCCACGCAACATATTTACACAAATACCAGATCTATAGATAAAAGAATTTCAACAAATTAGAGTAGCATAAAAATATTCAATGAAAATAAAAAAAAAACATATGAATCAGCCCAAAGAAACAGAGGATATTCAAACAAAATGAAAAAACAACAGAAAAGAAATATAATTTTGTACAACCCTACTTACAGTAAAACAAAAATATGGAAAATATTCTTCAAAATAATTGACAAACAGTTCCCTAAAAATAAAAAATTATCAAAAATTATCCACAAAAATACAGAGCAAAATTAATTACAGCTGCATTGATAATATAAATAACTAAACACAATAAAAAAAATACTCAACAAAAAGGGCCAAACTAATATTACTACTACTAATAATAATAATAACTTTGACATAACAATGGGTAACTATGATGCCTCTGTGGTATACAAATTAATAAGCATATATATAATCAATAAATTAACAAATATTATTAACAAAAAGTTATAGGTCTATACAGAGACAACAGTCTATAAATCCTAAGAAACTGCAATCTCAAGACTACAGAAAAATAAAACAAGAAATAATAAAAACCTTCAAATCCCTAGGATTTGCAATAGATATAAATCAAATGCAAAAATAGTAAATTTCTTAGATATAATATTTAATGTAAGCAACAGAACCTCCAAACCATACAGAAAACCAAACAACAACCAAATATAAATTAGCAGAAATTCTAGCCATCCACGCAACATATTTAAACAAATACCATATAAAAGATTTTCAACAAAATATAGTTCACTGCCATATAGAAAGATTGATAACAGTGCGGCACTCTTTTGTTTGTTTATAATTAAATTTTCCTTAAGGACACATGGCAGAGTGGATAAAGGCGTTAGTTAGATCCAGTGACAGGACCCAAAGTGTGTGAGTTCAATACCTGGTTAAGGCAGTGGAGAACTTGGAGAGGAGAAATAACAGGAAATAACTGGTAACTGACATCCATTAAACATGGCACGTGGAACTAGAACAGTCTACCCCAGTGAGCAAAATAAATGGTTCAATTCAACATTCCAACCACCTGAAGAAGTGTACAATGGCCGAAACATTGTAATAAATAGGGGTGACAAAGATGAAGACAATAGTGCGAATAATGTAAATAGTGTAGATAATACCTTATCTCAGAAATATAGACAGATATTAAATTTTCTTGTTTCTTGATACTTAGCTTAGTCCCATCAGAGAACGAAAAGCCTTGAGGCAACAGAGATATGGGTTTGCTGAAGAAGGCTGAGAATACCATAGATGGAACATGTGAGCAATAAGGAATTTTTAAGGAAAATGGAAATGAAAAGCACAACTATACATAGAATCAGTAAGAAACAGCTGAAATTTCTAGGATGCAAAAAATATTTTGACACTCACAAGACATATTCAAGGCAAGAGGGACTGAGGAAAATGGTGACTAAGCTACCTTATGAGTATTTATACGATTTACATTGTTTGGACTGTTGATCTAATCTTTGTTGACATATTCACAACTTTTGAGAACACATGGCCAGTGGATAAAGGCATTCATTGAAGTAATCCAGTGAGTTGACCCAAAGAGTTGTGAGTTCAATACCTGGCAACAGCAGAGGTAAACAAAAGACTTGGTGGGTTTACTATTTACATTATTCGGACTATTGTCCAAATCTTTGTTGCCATATATATCACAACATTTCAGCCATTGTACGCTCCAGCCTTCTTCAGGTGGTTGGAATGTCGAACTGAACCCTTTATTTTGCTCACTGAGGTAAACTGTTCTATTTTAACATGCCATGTCTAATGGATGTCAGTTATCAGTTATCTCCTGTTAATTCACTTCTCCAAGTTCTCCATTACCTTAACTGGAACAGTCTACCCAATCAAGCGAAATAAAGGACACATGGAACTAGAACAGTCTACTTCAGTGAGCGAAATAAAGGATTCAGTTCGACATCCCAACCTCCTGAAGAAAGCCAGAGAATACAATGGCCGAAACATTGTGATAAATATGGAAGCAAAGATGAGGACAATAGTCCAAATAATGTAAATAATAATAATACTTCATCTCAGAAATATAGATATGTTTTGCTGTGCTGTCCATAGTAAAGAAGTGAAGGAGGTATACGTATTTACTTATATAAGCTGGCATATTGTTCTTGTTGTCAGCCATCTTGGTCTTCAGTCGATTCGTCTTATCTTTTGGCCAAGGGGAGTTGTTTGACATAGATTTATGGAGATGACCTTGTATTTCTGAGTTTACTGTCTTCTTCTATGTGATCTGTCCCTCCAATCTGAACTGAACTCTTTATTTTTGCTCACTGGGGTAGACTGTTCTAGTTCCACATGCCATGTCTAATGGATGTCAGTTATCAGTTATCTCCTCACAAGTTCTCCACTATTTTAACCAGGTATTGAACTCACAATTCTTTGGGTCCTGTCACTGGATCTAACCAACACCTTTATCCACTGTACCATGTGTCCTTAAGAATATCTATGCATGAATTTCTGGGACTTATAAACTTAATATCTTCAGCAATCATTTTTACCAGTGCTCATATTGCAATTATTGCTGTTATCATTGCATGTTTTTTTTTTTTTTTACCAGAGATCATATTGCAATTTTTGTTGTTTTTATTGCTTTTCTCTGACACTCTATATTACTGGTTCCCATATTATATTCATTGCTATGCTTGGTCGGCTCAGGAGATTTTTGGGTTCAGTGCAACATTTCAACCACCGGAAGAAGGCCAGAGCATACAACAACTGAAACGTTGTGATAAATTATGCAACAAAGATGAGGATAATTGTCTGAATAATATAAATAGTGTACATAATACTTCATCTCAAAAATATAGACAGATATTGCTGAGTTTAGTTACTAAAGGAAATAACTGAAACTGACACTGAGGTGTCTAGAAGAGGCATGGCACATGGGATTAGAATAATCTACCATGGTGGATGAAATAAAGGGTTTGGTTCAAAATTCCAATCACCTGAAGAAGGCCAAAATGTTGTGAATATGACAACAAAGGTGACGACAACAGTCTGAACAATGTAAATAGTTACAATACCTCATCTAAGAAATCTAGACAATAACTTTGTAATGCCATAGTCCATTATGAGTTTAATAAAATAAAATTTTCTCTGTTTCTTAATATTTCTCATAATTTCTGGAAGGCACCTTTTGCTATTTCAATGAGTCCTGTACTTCTCTGTCAAATTTTCTATCATTTGTTAAAACAATTCCTAGATAGCAAAATTTCTGCTTTGAGGTGAGCCAAGTGAAAATGTGTTTCAAATATGTGATCATTAATGTGCACTGTAATTTTTATAAAGCCAGATGAGACAAGAGTTATAGATGTTGAAGTATCAGAAGTCAACTCATTGCTTATTGATGGCTGCTGAATAAAATAAAAAAAGATTACAAAAAGGAAATGCGTAAATAGTGTTTTAAACATTGGGGAAATTTACTTGAGGACATTAATAATGTGCTTCAAATTGTGGAAAAAAAAAATGAAAAAATACAGCAAAAGACTGGCTGGTCATCCTTAATCCCCACTCTCGTGCAGTCTTATGTTTTAAAAACATCCTTCCAGCATATAAACACACAAATAGATAGATAGATAGATAGATAGATAGATAGATAGATAGATATGAACAGACTGAGATAGATAGATAGATAGATAGATAGATAGATAGATAGATAGATAGATAGATAATAAATAAACCTAGACAGATAGATAGATATGAACAGATTAGGATAGATAGATAGGAAAAAAACCTAGATAGATAGATAGATAGATAGATTTGAACAGACTGAAATAGATAGATAGATAGATTTGAACAGACTGAAATAGATAGATAGATAGATTTGAACAGACTGAAATAGATAGATAGATAGATTTGAACAGACTGAAATAGATAGATAGATAGATAGATAGATAGATAGATATGAACAGACTGAGATAGATAGATGAAAGATAGATAGATGAGATATAGATAGATGACTGAGATAGAACTGAGATAGATAGATAGATAGATAGATATGAACAGACTGAGATAGATAGATAGATAGATAGATATGAACAGACTGAGATAGATAGATAGATAGATGATATGAACAGACTGAGATAGATAGATAGATAGATAGATAGATAGATATGAACAGACTGAGATAGATAGATAGATAGATAGATACGAACAGACTGAGATAGATAGATAGATAGATATTGAAGATAGATTTAAACAGACTGAGATAGATAGATAAATAGATAGATAGATAGATATTAAGACAGACTGATAGATAGATAGATAGATATGAACAGACTGAGATAGATAGATAAATAGATACGAACAGACTGAGATAGATAGATGAATGTTTACAGACTGATAAATAGATAGATAGATATGAACAGACTGAGATAGATAGATAGATAGAAACAGACTGAGATAATATGAACAGACTGAGATAGATAGATAGATAGATAGATAGATACGAACAGACTGAGATAGATAGATGGATAGATAGATAGATATGAACAGACTGAGATAGATAGATAAATAGATAGATACGAACAGACTGAGATAGATAGATAAATAGATACGAACAGACTGGAGATAGATAGATAAATAGATGAATACGAACAGACTGAGATAGATAGATAGATAGATAGATGCAGAACAGACTGAGATAGATAGATAGATAGATAGATAGATATGAACAGACTGAGATAGATAGATAGATAGATAGATAATGAACAGACTGAGATAGATAGATAGATAGATAGATAGATATGAACAGACTGAGATAGATAGATAGATAGATAGATAGATATGAACAGACTGAGATAGATAGATAGATAGATAGATATGAACAGACTGAGATAGATAGATAGATAGATATGAACAGACTGAGATAGATAGATAGATAGATAGATAGATATGAACAGACTGAGATAGATAGATAGATAGATAGATATGAACAGACTGAGATAGATAGATAGATAGATAGATATGAACAGACTGAGATAGATAGATAGATAGATAGATAGATAGATAGATAGATAAGTCTTTGTAAAAATATATCAACCTTGTCTCCATCTGTCTCAACCAATTTTTGCCGAAATATTTTTCTTATATGTGTGTGTGTGTATACAGTAGGGGAAACAAATATTCGTACACATACAAATTTTTAATCTATTGTATTTCCAGCTAATGAATAAACATACATTTTATATAATTAACTGTATACAGATGCATTAATAACTAAATATGCATAGAAAACAGAAAATTTGATTTAATAGAAGTAAATTCTATTTATCCATTTTAATGGGTGAAAAAAGTATTTGTACAATACAAAAAAGACTACATAATCTTCATTAAGTGTAAGAATATTTGTTTCCCCCCACTATATATATATATATATATATATACATAGCCACATGCATTTATAATTTAAATTTGTTCTCTTTATCTCAGGCAATTTGTATCTAATTTCTTATTTATCTATCAGTCATTTCCTATCCCTCGCTATTAGCCATTATCTATCTATATGTCTCTAGCTATCTAACTTAGGTATTTCTTATCTATCTATCTATCTATCTGTCTATCTATGTATCTATCTGTCTGTCTATCTATAAGCATAATCTATCTGTCTCTATGTCTCTGGCAGTCTAAGGCAATTCTTATTTATTTATTTCTCTATTTTTCTATCTAACTATCTGTGCATCTGTCTGTCTGCCTGTGTGTCTAGCTATCTCTCTGTTTTATCAGTACATCTAATGGAATTATTCTCTTCAGACCTGATCAATAAAATGACTAATCATTTATGATTTGATCATCAAAATAATCTATCATTCTCTCTCTCTCTATCTCTGTCTCTGTGTCTGTCTCTCTCTCTCTATCTATCTATATATCTAAGACATTTTTATCTATCTATCTATCTATCTATCTATCTATCGATATGTCTCTAGCTGTCTATCTTAGGCATTTCTTATTTATCAATGTATATATCTATCAGCCTGACTATATGCATGTCTGTCAATTAGTCTATTTACCTTAAACATTTCCTATCTATCTATCTATCTATCTATGTAAAATACTTCATATCTATCTATTTATCTATCGATCTGTTTGTTTTATCTAATAGGATTATTCTATTCATACCTGCTCAATCATTTCGTCTTTTGATCTGATCATCAAAATATTCTCTCTACCTTAGACATTTCTCATCTATCTATCTATCTATCTATGTAAAATACTTCATATCTATTTATCTATCGATCTGTTTGTTTTATCTAATAGGATTATTCTATTCATACCTGCTCAATCATTTCGTCTTTTGATCTGATCATCAAAATATTCTCTCTACCTTAGACATTTCTCATCTATCTATCTATCTATCTATCTGTTTATCTGCTTTATCTGAACATCTAATTAAATTATTCTCTTCATACCTAATACATAATTTATCTTTTGATCTAAACATCAAAATATTCTATCTATCTATCTATCTATCAGTGTCTGTCTGTCTATCCATCTTAGGCATTTCTTATCTATCTATCTATCTATCTACCTATCTATCTATCTGTGTGACTGTCTGTTTGACTGTCTGTCTAGGCATTTCTTATCTATCTGACTATTTTAAACATTTCTTACATATCTGTCTGTCTATCTTAAACACTATCTATCTATCTATCTATCTACTTTTTTATCTGTACATCTAACAGAATTATTCTCTTCATACCGGATCAATCATTTTGTCTTTTGATCTGATCATCGAAATATTTTTTTGTGTCTATGGTTCCATATTATATTTGCTTAGATATAAATATATTTACATAGATTCATCTATATATATACATATATATGTGTATGTGTGTATATGCATGCATGTATACAAACTTTCACACATATATGAAATAATGACAGATTCAAAGAATTTGAATAGATCAATCAATCTGTTCATCTTCATAAGTTACATACTATTTCCTGAGTGTCTCTGGACATTTCACATGTCTCTAGAAATCACTCCATCAGGAAATAAGTAACCATATTTTCTATTAACTTTTTCTTTCTCATAGAATGTACCCTGAAGCTTTTTTTTTTCGTTTTTTTTTGTATGGCATAGAAATATAGTTATGTATATTTATTCATCTAAGTAACTTTTTACACTTATATATATATATATATATATATATATATATATATAATTAATACTAGTAAAAGTTTTGCCACTTAGCTGATTGATTTTATGCACATATATTCATCCATGTAACTTCAGTATCCCAACTCCAGAGTTTCATAGATGGACTCTGTGGTAATCACTCCATCCACTCATCAGAGAGTTTCAGTAATTGACTGCTTATACTTCTCAATTTTTCATTTTTATACACACTTTTCATTTGTGTGTATGTGTGTGTGCATATGCTCGATTGCATATGCCCCATTGCATATGTCTGAGCATAGATAGATAGATAGAAAGAAAAACAAATGAATGGGATAGAGGATAATGATAATGATAATATTAGGAAATACAAAAGGGAACATTTGATATTCATTGGTTAACTAGCCAATACTGCTTTCAGATGAAACTTATAAAATCTTTCTCTTAAGACAGTTTTCAGGAAACAGGTTTCTCAACACCAATAGCTGTTATTGCTCTTTCCATTATTGATAGTAGTTTCCTTCCTAGCTTTTTATTTGAATTAGTGTGGAGAGTCAGCATCTTGGTTAAGTTATTCCTCTTCAATCGTAGTTGTTGCTGCTGTTGGTGGCAGTCCTCAAGTGATGTGGTTTTGGTTATTTGGTTCAGTTCTTTGTTTGTGATTCTGTAGTGCTAGTCCACAATGTTCAGAGAAGGATGATTTTTTGCCAAAGCCCTCAGGCTTTACTCACTCGAGGCCTTTTTCACCATGACTGATCCAATTGAGATGCTTCTGGAGATATGTTAATATTTTGATCTTGAGATATTTTGATAATTCTTGAGATAATTGAGATACGTGTATGACTCGGCCCAAGTTGCAGACCTACTATGTTTTTACATTTTAGATGTGTTTAGTAGAATCATAAAACCAGAACTAATAGGACTGTATAGGGATGACGGACTCATCCTCATCCCTAATATTAATGGTCCACTAACAGCGAAATTACAAAAGAAAATTAACAGCACATTCAAATTCCTAGGGTTTAAGATCAAGATTTCCTATAAGCTTATAATAGTTGACTACCTAGATATCACCCTTACCTTAATGATAAAACCTTTAAACCTTACCATAAAGAGAACAAAACTCCCAATTATATTAATATCGAGTCTAACCATCCCAGTGCAATCCTAAGACAAATACTCACTACCCTTTGCACCAGGATTAGTAAACTATTGTCCAATGAAAAAATCTTTAACAAGAATAAAGAACTATACAAAAAGCAATCTAAAAATGTGGCTTCAAAAATAAGCTGACTTATGTAACCACCATTAGTAATACCAATACATGAAAAGTGGGATGTAGGTGTAAAAATAAGAAAAGAAAAAATCAACCCCCACTTCTGCAAACTGTCAAGTATCAACATTGGATGGTAATTTCTAAATTTAATTACTAAACACTTCAACAAAAAAAAAATCCTCTAAATAAGATATTCAACAGGAAGTCAATCAAAATTAGCTACTCCGACACTGATAATATGTACCAAATTATTATTGTTCATTGCAGCTTATGTAACAGTGTTTCCCCTATTGAGGTTGATTTGAACCATTTAAAACCCTTTATTCTACATTCAGCACCATCACTTGATAAGACACCAGAAGTATTGAAACAAAATGGCTATTTTTGTAGTGATTTTATAACATATTTATGTTATAATTTTCAAATAAATCATATTTTCTCTACTCTGTATTGAGCACTCTTTTAAGAATAGTATTTTTTGGTTATTGGAATTTATTCCATATACACCAATCCTATACTTGGGTATTATATATATATATATATATATATATATATATATATATATACACACACATACATTGAGACATTTTCATTGAATAATTTAGATGTTTTTTCTACTTATTTTCAGTTGGATCCTTTCATGCTCACAGACAAGCTTCTTGGTTTCATTATTAAAAGAAGAGAAAATTACAGTGTTGATAAATATTGTTTATTCTGAGTAATTTTGCCATCATCAGGATGTTGTTTTTTTCAAGACAAATATTTTAGTGTTCATCATTTTCAAAGACAAAATTGCTATGTTCCTCAGAAATTAAAATTTTTCACTGGTGAAATGAAGAATGCTGAGTTTAGTGTGATTAGTTTGACTAATACTTCAGGGGAGGCAACTAAGTTATGAGTTTGTCAAGAATATAAAAAATAAGCATTAAAAGCTATTGGTACAAACCTCAATATTTTAAACTCTCTACTATGAACATTTTAAAATACTAGTGCAGTATTCATAATTGATTTTATAATGTTAGTTTCAATTTTTTAATATAGATAGTTTCAAGAAGATTTAGTTTATGTTCATTATTTTCAAGAAAAATTATAGATGTATTTTCAACAAGAATTTTTCTGAATTGTGAATGTGGAGAAATTTCTCGAACATTCAGACCCGTAAATTTAATTATTACTGTTTAATTAAAACAGAGCATTTACTCAGATAATTTGTATCCACAAAAATAATGTATAAAAAGAAAATATATTAAAAGTACATACATAAACATATATATATATATATATATATATATATATATATGAAATGGACAAAGATATTTTTATGTTTATACATTCTTTTTTATAGATACAAATATTTAACTAAATACTCTGTTTATAATAAAAAGACATTTACCGGCCTGAGTGTCTGAGAGATTTTTCATAGAAAATATGTGTCATCTGACAGGAATCAAACCTGTATCCTACATGAAACCGTCATATAGCATGGCAAACTGAAATGCTCCTCTGTGGCTAAATTGGTAAAGCACGTCAGGCTATATGATGGTTCCATGTAGGATACAGGTTCGATTCCTGTCGGAGGATGCATATTTTCTATGAAAATTTCTCGGACATTCAGGCCAGTAAATGTTGTTAATACTGTTTATTATAAACAGAGCATTTACTTAAATATTTGTATCTATAAAAAAGAATGTATAAACAGAAAAATGTCTTAAAATATATATATATATATATATATATATATATATATATATATATATACATGTATTTAAACATTTTATTAGTGATACAAAACCTAATAAATGTCATAAATAGACAAATTTTATTTTTATTTTTAATGCTACCACACATGATTATAATTAAAAGAAAAAGTGAAGAATGAGCTTACTGGTTTTGAACCTCCTTCAACGAAGCTAAATCAAGATTAATAAATATGTATATATTATCAATAAAAGAAATAAAATCTGAGAAAAAAATATTCAGATGGAAATCAATTGGAAGCCAAGGAAAAAATCCTTCTGTTTACAGAGCGAAGCTTCATTGATAAAATATATATGGCCTGCAATATCTTAAGGTGTTAATTTAAGTGGGACCTACACAGGATGAAAAAAGAGTCCAGAATGTAATAAGCCACACAACTGTTGTTATTTATAAAGTCTTCCACTATGGAAGATCTGTATGTAATGGTCAGAACATCTGATGGTGAATAAATAGAGTTCTGGATTTTTGTAGGCACGTGTTGTTTAATTTTAGCATCCAGCCTTTGGGCTGTTCTTTCTATGTAGTGCATACTGCAACTGCATTCAAATAAATAAATCAGGAAACTATTATGCTGAGGTGAAAGAATGTCTTTGCACATAGATGGAAGGTCAGATTTAACAGAGAAAACCACATGTGTATTCCCAGCAAAGTAACAGTGTCAAACTGCTATGGAAACCCATTTAGCAATTCTGTCACTAACAGTTTCTAGTCAAAGAAGACATAGGTAAAGAGAACATCTCTGTACTGAAGCAGGTTTCATTTTATTAAACTCCAAAATTTTATATTAAATTATGGATTGAACAATATCTAGAGGATAGGCATTGTTGCAGAGAGTAGTAGTAATAAACCTTATTTCATCATGTGGTTTGTTTTTCAAACAGATCTTTAAGGCCATATGGGTAAGAGTCATAATTAAATTTATTTTACATTTTATGGCACAAAAAGAGTCCCAACAGGTATACACACCAGTAAGTGTCGGTTTTTCAATAAACTGAAGTGAGAAAACCTGACAAAGTTCTATGAACCAAAACATCAAGAAAGGGAAAGGAAATGTTAATTTCCTTTTCTTGTTTAAATTTAAGAACTGGATGGATATTGTTAAGAAATATATGTAAAAGGTCCACTTCATTTTTGCAATCGAAGAGACAAAACGTGTCTCTGGTGTAACAAAAGTAAACATCGGGTCTATCAGGATCAGATAATAAACTCTCTTCATGAAAACATACAAAGATGTTGGCCAAAATGGGACCCAAAGGAGAACCCATTGAGACTCCACAATTTGCCTGTACATGACACTGTTGAAACTAAATTCAACTGCCATTGTGGCAAATTTCATAATTTCAACAAAAATATCCTCTGAAATAAGAGGAGGGGACAACTGACTATGATATAAGGCATCAGCACATATATCAATAGTCTCAATAAGAGTCATGCAGGTGAAAAGGCTTGAAATATCAAAGTGTCATATAGAAATAAAGTGTCACTGCTGACACTTGGGTTTGAACATGGATCGCTAGAGAGCAAAA